CAATACACAGCTAACCAATTGAAAATACTCAATACAGAACTGACCAATTGGAAATGCCCAATACACAACTGACCAATTGAAAATGCTCAATACAGATCTGACCAATTGGAAATGCTCAATACACAACTGACCAATTGGGAATGCTCAATACACAGCTGACCAATCGAAAATGCATAATACACAGCTGACCAATTGGAAATGCTCTATACACAGCTGACCAATTGGAAATGCTCAATACACAGCTGACCAATTGGAAATGCATAATACACAGCTGACCAATTGGAAATGATCAACACTCAGCTGACCAATTGGAAATGCTCAATACACAGCTGACCAATTGGAAATGCTCGACACACAGCTGACCAATTGGAAATGCTCAATACACAGCTGACCAATTGAAAATGCTCAACACAGCTGATCAACGGGAATGTTCACCACATAGCCTAGCCTGTACGTTAGGAACTGGCTGAGTGACAGTCTCAGGTGTGCTTGAGGCACGTCTAATGGTACATGCAACCCTGTCAACGAGCTACTTTCGAGATGATTGTTGAGCAAACAGTTAGACCACAAATGGGCGCATGAAGAAGTCCCGCCAATGTGAGCCTCCTGACAACGAGCCATTGCTAGGGCACCCTGTTGAACTATCTCTATATCTAGCACAACTGCCATGATGTCATCTGCGTCATGATGTCAACTATGCCATGATGTCAACGGTGTCATGATGTCAACTGTGTCATGATGTCAACTCCTCTGGTACAGGCCTAAACGTGCATTTGTAGTGGTATTATGTAGTAGTTTCTGCGGAACAGTACGGCTGCACTACAGCCAACATAAGGCGACAGGACAACACATGAGAAATGACTCGTATAGGCGCGTTTTGAAACCTGTCCACCCCCGCACTCAGATATAGATATACAGAGACACCTCCAACGTGGCTCAGGCACATCCGATAGAGTGAAAGAAGTATACAGAGGTATTGGCAAACTGTGCGGTCAGCGCGCGTGAAGGATACATACCGATTCCTTGGACAGACTCACATCCTCTTGTTGGAAAACCAACCTGTAACGCAACAGGAATGGCATTCAGCCTTACTTGCACAGGTAAGCTCATGCTAGAGTTGTGTCTCTGCGCATGTGCGACAGGGGTTTGTACGCCTATGATGCAGAGCATGTAGGCTCTAATGCAAAGTATGCGGGGACTAGTCCTTGGGCACGCTTCGCAGCGGTTAAAATCGTGCGTTTGGATGTCGCATATATATATATATATATAAATATCTTTAAAAAGCAGCCAATATGAATAGAAATAAGGTTACACAGAGCACAGCTACCTCGCGATGCTAAAAAATCACCGTACATAGAAACCGCCCGGAAACACACACTGGTGACTGGCTTGTGTATACTATGGGTGCATATTGGTGAAGCTGATATGTATCATCACTGCGTGAAGTGAGCCATACCGCAGCCATAGATAGGTGTGGCGGGTACAATAAGCGGAAGTAGTATACATTCTTTTGCAACTAGTCTGAGAATTACAACGAGGCTTCTGCAGAGTAAGAAGAGTATGACACATATTTATGGCCTCGCATGGTGCCTACCGATGAAATGATGAAGGTATGATACTCGGTATAGCATATACATGCGGCACTTGCTTCGGATATGTGACAGCGCTACACACACA